GCGAAACGACAATACGAGATCAATAAATTTATCTTCTTGAAAATATTCTATTTGTGCCAACACCCGCACTCTCACATTTAGACGACTTATTTATACGTCACAAAAATCACTGGTTACAAATTTAAAATAAATAAATAATAAAAAACTTTGCCACTAAACATAATAAATAAAAAAAGGTTACGCTTCGCTATAAATTTCCAAAACACTTATAGTTCAAAAATTTTGAAATGTCAAGTTCGTTACGTAAATTAGCGCGCGCTTTTCCGGCCCGGTCCAAGATGGCGGATTCGGGGGCCACGTGGCGAGATAGAAAAACCGCCGCCCGAACGTTTCACGTTTTCGTTTTGCCGCCGAATTATTTCGGTGCGTCACATTTCGCTTTCGGCGCATCTATATTTTATTTTTAGTGACGTCTGGTATTGTCTTGTGGGCGAAGAATTTAATCTTTGAAACTGTCCCCGGTGATAATTTCAATGGCTCAGAGCTTTCGTGAGCGCTTACACTATACACTAGAACATAGGATGTGCGTTTAACGCTAACTTGTTACAAGGCGTTCTGAGATGATCTCAGAAAAAGTAGGTCAGGCGGTCTTAATATAATCGTCTGAGACTTCTGCGTTCTCGACTAAACTCGCTACCATGATGCTCCTGTCTGAATCCTCACCTACTTAAATCCCTAAATCCTAGTTCCTATTTCAAGTAAATATTGGTCTGTAACGACTTGTAAATTCATCAACTGCGTGCGAACTATCCATGTGGTCTGGAGGCTCCTAAACACCAGTACCACCACGAAATCGACATTGGTGATGGGGATAGCGATCGGCGATTGTGAATAACGATCGAATTGTCGGATTATGTGCCCAAATTCTTAGCAAAACCGATGGTAATCGGATAAAGATATTCTAAAGATAATCGGATAAAGATATTCTAAAGATAATCGGATAAAGATCTCACGCGACCGCTCATCTTAAAGTAATAATGAGGTCGATGTCTCAATCGCGTCTCAATACCGGCTAACTTAGCTTTGAGTGCCTACATCGCTTCAAAAATAGGCAGGACCGTGGCACCAAACTCACAACCAAGGTAAGATATGGTCAATGCGGTTGGTAAGTCCTTTATCGGCCCAAAAAAAAAGCCGCGGCCTTGGACTTTTGGGCACCTCAATAAGGAGGTCAATGGAAACATTATGATTGACGTAGCGCTGAATAGTTTCAAAGATCGATATACTACTGCCCTTGTTTTCTTTATAATGACCCTTACGTTTTAGGGCTTAGAGTTTGCATTCGTTTGAGGGATTTTTGTCACGGAAATTCCTGAACATGAAAGTCTTTTCTGCAAGCTTTGACTCGTCTTTGAAATCGGTAAGAGCACGACTCACCCCGGCCTTGTTCGTGGCATCGTTATGTTATGCTTTTATTTTTTACGTATTTAATAAATGTGGCTAAATTAATAGGTATTCATAATTTATTGTCATTTAAGTCATTTGCTTTGAGGAGTGGTTTATCCTGATTCAACTCGGATTTGGCTTTCGATTCTCGGCCGTGTCTTTTGCTGAATATATCAAGGATTCGGAGTCTGGAGCGAATTCTAGCTTCGCAACCTTGAATTTCAACGCCTCCATTAATTTTAAAGGTCTATGTAGGAATCATCATAGGAATCCTTCGATTTGATTTTAATACGTCATTACTGTAAGACATATTATTATTACTACTACCGTCAATGTCGTCTGAATCAATTAAACATGCATTATTATTGATAACACAAAAACTACAGAATTCTTGATACAATTTAAATGTAACCACACGAGAAGCACCAGTATTCGAATAGATAAATAAAATAAACGTCAAAATCGATTCACCTACAAAAAGTTCTCATGTAACAACACGCACACACAAGAAAAAAATACAGTCGAATTAATAACCACCAACGTTTTAAAAGTCGGTTAAACATGAAGAAAAGTCCTTTCGAATCCATCAGAGATTCATACACATACAATAATGTATACGCAAAATGGCAATGTAATAACAACCCTCTGTCGAATTGAAAGATAATTCGTTTTAATGCAAAATTAATGAAATATTTTTGAGTATTTCATCATCAGCCCACAGTCGTCCACTGCTGGACATAAGCCTGTCCCAATATCACACCACTGAGCCTGGTCTTCGCCTCACCTCATCCACCTCATGCTGGCCACCGTTTAAGTATTTAAATAATTTTAAAAGCTATGTTATTCGGACGTGTTTTTTTTTATTATACCGGTTATTATGTCACTGCCGCGCTTTTGTAGTGCATCCACAATATTTGCGACATCTCACACAGATGACTTTTTTGCAATAATGCGGAAGAGAAATGCATCATTATTGCGTCGAGTGCGTGACAGTGGCAACAGTCTTCTGAGCATCATCTTGAGGAAGATCGAGGGACTGCTGATTAATAGCCATTGCAGCAGGCAAATGGAAGCAAAAAAAAAGTAATGATATATATGGTATGTCTGATAGTTATGTTTTAGATTTTTAAGTTACTAACATAGATTATAAGTAATTCTTACTAAAAAAAAGTTATGGTTTTAAAAAAAACTGGTATAAAGTACGAGTATAAATAAATAAATAAAATACGGTATAGGCATTACGTCATCAAAGTGACATACAAACAAAAGCCTGTCACGCGTTTCGAATGTGAATTTCGTCATTTTAATAACATTCTCTCATCCCATCCGAATGTACCAGGAAGTCAGTGGAATAGAGGAGCTATTTAAAACGCGAACTCACACTATGACTAGCACACGTTACACAGCACGCACACATCGAAACATCGTAACGAAGCGAAATGCCAACGAACTCTTCTAGTTCTTTTTTTAAATTCAAACCTTAAATAGTGCACGTGAACTTTTCAAATAGAATTGTGACAGTTCGAAAATGGCGAATGGTTTTTTGATGGCGCGAAAATTGGGTTAGGTAGAAAAATACTAGAAAAACGTTCATTTAAAGATATAAACAATATGGCGGAATTATTAAAACTATTGGTCCCTCAGTATGTAGTCGAAATTCGACTTATAATTAATTGAAATTATAAGTTTGACAATTATTACCATCAATAGAACCATATATTGTCAAAGACTTATACTTCTATAATCACAGATTTGGCCAAGATTATACTATAGACATATAATATTAAGGATAAACAATATTAACCTATTTTCAATTTGACTAAAGACTTTAATAATAAATAAAAATAATATATGCGTGTGTGTGTCAAATACATGTGTGTAATGTTTTTATTATTATTGATTTAATGTATTTTTATGCTTAATATTAAAAGATATTAGCATTCTGCACTTCTTCTCTATATTCTCTATAAGCGTGGAAAATTTCATGCTCCTCCGTTCGCGCAATTTTCGTAAAAAAGGGTACAAAGTTTTTGCTTCGCGTATTAATACATAGATAATTGATTTTGACACAAGTATATTTTTAAATATGATTGTGACAGTTTTAAATAGGATTGTGACAGTTCAAACATGGCGGACGGTTTTTTGATGGCGCGAAAATTGTAAGTTAATTCGTGTCGAATAAGAAATACCAGAAAAGCGTTTTATATAAAGATTTATATAAATAATATACCAGACCTATTAAAGTGATCGATGTTGACACAAGTTTCTTTTTAAAATTAAAATAAAAACGAAAGAAAATTTTACTATAATTTTCGAATGTACTCACTCCATAGAATCGTAATTTCGAAATACACATACACAAATTAAGTTATATTACAAAATTTAAAAGGGATTTAATTAGTCGATGATTCATTAAATTTCAGATGAAAATGACGGTCGCATCACTAAAAAGAAAATACCCGGATAATTAATTCTCTTCGACTGCTTCATGATCTTAACAACCAAAGTTATATCTATAATGTATCCATTTAAGTTTACCTGTAAATTACATGCACACACACTCACGAAAGCTCTAAGCATGCTGATTTTTACGTGGAAATGATGAAAGCCTGAAAAGCTGTTTTCATTTAAATACAAAAAAAATCATTCATTTTTGCTTCGAAAGCTCCTGACCTACACGATCTCAAGTTCTTACCGTCACAAAGCTAATGCAGTTGGCACATTCAAAACAGGTCATCACAAAGGTCAAATTCAATATATTATATATTTTTATAACTTAGATGGATGGACTAGCTTACGACCCACCGGGTGTTAAATGTTTACCGGAGCCCACAGACATCTACAACGTAAATGCCGCCACCCACCTTGAAATATGAGTTCTAAGGTCCCTCAGTATAGTTACAACGGCTGCCCCGCCCTTCAAACCGAAACGCATTACTGCTTCACGGCAGAAATAGGCAGGGCGTTGGTACCTACCCGTGCGGACTCACAAGACGTCCTACCATCGTTCCTATTTCTACTTATTTCTACTTATTAGTAGATTAATGGACAGTTTTCCGTCCAGGGTCGGTGGAGTGTTTCTTACGTTTTTATGTCAAGGCCAGAAACGACAATATTTACTTCGACTTTGGAGCTATTTTTGTGAGCTGTATAATGTCTCCGGTGTTACGATTTTGAATGTTTAATTCATTCCTTTTTTTTGTTACGAATTTTACTTTCAATAGTAGACACAACTAACTTAACTAACTGAGGACTTGAACCTTGTGGGATGCAACCGCTTATATCCTATAACAAAAAAAACCCCAGAAAATATCTCGATAGGTTATCTTATATGGAAACTGATTTCGGAAATGTCTTTAGCGCGATTCAGGCGTCTCACAAGTGATTTATGTTTAACCTTCGCTATTGCTGTCGCTAAGTGAAATACATACACAATATACGAGTAATCTTTTGCACCAAAACAAAAGCTTGAACAAATAAAACTTGACATTTAAAAAAATGCGCGATTTAATCTCTAAGAAAATCATCATGTAGTTACATAGAAAAAAAAATAGGGGTTTCTGCAATGAAAACAGCTTTCCAGACACGAATGATCAGATATAATGGTAACTCACCCCTTTTACATCATCGTATTCTTTATCCAAGAGCTTCCTTCTTGTAGACGGAGTTTCAGGACTAGAATCTTCGGTCAATTCGCTCAAAGTACTCTCAACGCTGGTCTCCATGGACTTGGCCCCATCCTCCTCTTTCGAGTCTCCTTCGCTCTTCTCCGAGCGCTTCTTTAGATAATTCTCGTGTTCGAAGGTCTTATTTTCGAAGCCCGTCTCACTTGGAGATTCGATTTCATTGTTCAGCGATACATTCTCTTGCTCAGAATCTATGTATTTAAGGCCGGCTCTAGACTTACGCGTCTCTGTGGGCACGGGTTCCTCGTTAACGTGATTTTCAATTTTCTTTAGCGCGGACGTGCCCGAGGCGATCGGCTGCGAGATTTGTATGTACGAAGCGAAATCGGACGTGTGCCTTTGACTTTTGACCTGTTTTTCAATGTCGTTTTTAATGTTGTCTTTCAATTTGTTAACCGTTTCGGGACTGTTGCGTATTCTCTTGCGTTCCGCATAATCTACGTCCCCATTTTGAACTTGGATCACGGTCGATTTCTCTAGAATCTTCCCTATTGGATTGTTGGGGTCTAGTTGACTTTTGACGCTCGTCAAATGGTCGGGCGGGATTTTCGACGCTAAGACCGTACTCGCGCCGTTAGGTTTATCGTGAAGATACTTCGAAATACTGCTTTCTGATGCCGTTTTGTTAATCGACAGATCGGAATTGGAATTCGACCGCGAACTAGACGAGCCTGATTCCCATTTGCACGTACCGTTCCGGCTGACGTAAGGCAGATGAACGGGTACCGGTTTGTCGTCTTTGGGACGTAGCTTCGTGTACCCAACGGTACCGTTCTCGCAGTCTTTGAGCTGATTCAGGTACCGCTCATCGTTGCTCCTATTCGCGTACCTACTCTCGTTTGCGGGTAGTTTGGTGACGGCCATTTTTGGATCGAACTTCTTTCGCATCTCGGGCACAGATGGTAGCTCATTGCCATTACTGTCCCTCACTCCGTTCGTAAGGGAGTTTCGTTTCGTGTAGCCCGACGTCGGAGAACTATCCTTGTAACGTCGGCTTTCGGTTCTCTGGTTGTAAAATTTCGACGCTTATTTTTCCGTTTTTTTTTTTNTTGCGGGTAGTTTGGTGACGGCCATTTTTGGATCGAACTTCTTTCGCATCTCGGGCACAGATGGTAGCTCATTGCCATTACTGTCCCTCACTCCGTTCGTAAGGGAGTTTCGTTTCGTGTAGCCCGACGTCGGAGAACTATCCTTGTAACGTCGGCTTTCGGTTCTCTGGTTGTAAAATTTCGACGCTTATTTTTCCGTTTTTTTTTTTTAAACAAAATGATAGAAATGATAAAAGTATTGCGACACGTGACTGTGTGTGTTAGTTCAACATTGATATACATGCTTTTGCTGTAATACTTCTTCAAAATTGATGTTTGGTTTACAAAGCGATTGGTTTTAGAATAGATCGCAACGTATCAATCAACTTTTGGTTAAGCACCGCAAGTATTACTAGCAAGTATGCTTCTCTACCAACTAACGCATACCAAAAACAGAGGCCAGATTTACTATTCCTGGCCCTATGCGGTGAATCTAACAATCTTAAGCATCTCAAACGAAGTTTATTGATGGATATTTAGTGCGATATATATATTTTTTTGCATTTGTTAATGAACGATCACACACACACACACGGCGCACACATTTCGTTTTTGTGTGTCTGCGAATTGTTTCATAGCAATTTCGAAATAAATCAACCATACTTTTCATTTTAAGCCGAGGAATTGAATGATTAATCGTAATTTTGCCAAAAAGACTGGTCACTAAGCCCAAAAGGAAAATGAACATAGATTTGTTAAAATAAACTTGACAATCTGGATAAAGTCTTGAAAAATAACTCATCAGCGGCAAAGTGGAAGGAAAGAGGCCCAGGGGGCGTAGTCCCATGCGCTGGTCCGATCAAATTAAGACGATTTTGGACTCCAAAATCAACGTCGCTATCCACTGGGCAGAGGACTAGATGGAATGGAGGAACATAGTCCAAACAAAAGTTCTCCGTAAAGGTCACGATCCTAAGCACTGAGGAACGCGGTACATGGAGGAGGAGGATTAAGTTAGCAAGAGTATGATGATAGATGGACACCAGTTTAATCTGGTATATCATTGCCCCGTAAGGGGGTACGACGACCCGCGTAATAATCATATTCAAATGGACCAGGTGGTATAACACATATCTTAATTATGGTAGCACTGATTCGATTCTTAAGGAAGATTTAAAGCAACTCTTGAAAACTAAAGACTTGAGTATTTTAAAATGAGATGAATCATCGGTCCAGTTTTAGCCGTATTAAGTGTCGAGAGTAGTGTGATTTTGTATTTCTATAATTGTTTACTCTGATGGCACCTTTTACTTTCGTAATGATAAAACTTTATTCACGAAATGTTTAATTTTACGATACATAATTGGGGGAGTGAAAGGCTGTTTGGTTTAAGCGACATTTCGCTTAATACACAGACATTTATCTTTTTATTTAAAGGTGCGTTTTATTTGGTATTCAATTATCATTGACAAGTAATTTAGTCATATCAAATTGTATTCTACGCATAAGATCGTGTGAATTCTCGTTTTGAATTAAAGGAGAAAGTTTAGCTATGCTTTTAAACGATCAAAAATAATCATTCGTCTCGTAGTTACCGAAATCTGCAATCTTTTTGACAGATGTCAGATTTGACACACATCACTTTTGAAAACGAACAAATTTCGCAGACACTCAAAATTTAGTTTTAATCGTAACGCAATATATATATTCGTTTTATACGTACTTCAGATGTGGTTCCGATAGCCGAGTTCCTGGCTTTCCTTAGAGCGCGTGATGGGTCGGCTGCTGGTGGTCTACCGATGTCGTTCGAGATCGACTTTGATCTCGATATCTCCCCGTAATTCTGATTCTGAAGCTTTTGTTGCTGCTGTATTCTCTGCGTCAACGGTATGTAGTTCGACGGCGAATACAACTTGTAAAGCTCGGCCGTGCTCATGAAAGCAGACGAGCTGAAATTTCTTTTCGTTCTAGACGGGGGGTCGCTTAGAGTTTTGCCGCTCTCGCTCCTTGTCGTCGAAATATCTCTAGACCTGGACTCGCTTCTGTCAGAGCGATGCCTGGACGAGATACCGCTGTCCGAATCCGTCACGCTTGGAGCTCTGGAAGTTCTAGAGTATTCTATCAGAGACTTCTTATCTCCTTTACTGTCGATGGAATATCTGGATCTGTATTCGGTGACGGTGTCTCCGTAAGATCGGATAGTTGAAGTTGCATATGAGCCACTACGTGGCCTGCAATAAGGATTGTCTAGGCTTGACGAAGAGGTCAAGGTAGACCGGTAGGACCCCGACAGGCTGGACGAGGATCCCTCGAGCCTTGACGAAGAAACTAAAGACATTTTGAAGACTATTAAATACTTTCTATTTAATACACAAAATACATAGTACGCTTAGTACTAAATATTGTTTTTAATAACTAATATTGGCTTTGATTCTGGATGGTTTACGTGTTTTTTGCATCTTCTTCTTTGGTTGATTCCTGGAACAATAAAAGAGATATCAAAAATCCATTCGAGGCTGAGATAATTATTTAACGGAGTCACGATAACTACTTCAACCAAAAACGGAACAATCGTAAGCTTTTTAGCTTAAAGATGAACACGTGATTTGAACGCGATCGTGTGATTTTTATAAATTAAATAAGAGAGGAATATATAGTACAAATATAAAGTATTCCAAACCATAGCCTCAAGTTTCAAATTAGCGACGTTCATACTGCTATGTCTATATCCTCCTCCGGTAACCGTTCAACACAAGTTGCTTTCGCAAACTTGGATTCGTTATTTTTTTGAAAAGAGGTCAGTATCTTGAAAAGAATCGTGAAACCGACCACATGTGCTAAATTACACTGAGAACATCAGCGCGTCATCCAAGTAAGCAGACAAAAAAAACAAAAAATCTTTAGATACTTTTATCGCATCAAGGATAATATTTCGAGGTCGCCCCTCATTACGTACGTATCACGTCAGTTACGTAAATTAATGTTGCGTAATGATAAAAACGTTTTATCAGACTGGCGGTCCGCGAAACGTGATTTGGTGATTACCATCGCGTGTTTCAACTTATTAAACGTGCGAAATCTTAATGCTTTTCGCCATATATAATATGAACGTCCAACTGTTTCGACTTTGATGTACTTAAAATCCGCTAGTGAAACGCGTATTTCGCGGTTAATTTCAGGTCTGATACATTTTGCTATTTTGCGGGTATTGCGAAATATAATCATTGTTGTCCTTAGCATGCGTGTTGTGTTGTGTAGCAAGAGAAATAAAAGCCCTGCTTTCTAAATCAAGTTTCGTTGAAGCTAGCCAGCCACCCAACACAAAATACAGTACACTACCCGAAACAATCATGGCCGTTTAAGATTGGCAGCGTGAAAATATTAAATGTTCCACTTTATTTTTTATTTTTATTGCATATATAGGTGGACAAGCTCACGGCCCACCTGGTGTTAAGTGGCTACCAGAGCCCATAGATATCTACAACGTAAATGCCGTCACCCACCCAGACATGTGAGTTCTAAGGTCTCAGTATAGTTACAACGGCCGCCCAATCCTTCAAACCGAAACGCATTATTGCTTCACGGCCGAAATAGGCAGGGTGGTGGTACCTACCACCTACCTGGTGTAGACTCACAAGAGATCCTACCACCAGTAATTACGCAAATTATAATTTTTCGGGTTTGATTTTCATTACACGATGTTATTCCTTCACCGTGGAAGTCAATCGTGAACATTTGTCAAGTACGTATTTCATTAGAAAAATTGGTACCCGCCTGTGGGATTCGAATACTGGCGCATCACAAGGACTTAATACATTAACTTAAGGCCATAAAAGATTTTTTTATAGCCAACGTAGCCCGTGAATATGCCGGCGTGGAGTTATCACCGAAGCTCATGATCGCCATCAATGCCAGTAGGATAGACAAGCTGCTGCATACCGCCGAGGACTATCCTCAAGTTTCCTTCGTGGGTGCCGGAAATAGTCACAAGCAAAACAAGAAAAATATAGGTACGGTTGCCGGTTATAAGAGCTATCCTAATCTTAATGCCTAATGTGCTATACTGGAATAGCATTGGTGCGAACTCACAACACCCCTCACCACCGTTATAATGATTGACGCAAGAGTTTCTGGGGCAACACCGATCACCATAACCCAATCAACAATCCGTATTAAAGCTTGTCCAACGTGAATCACAACAATGACGATATCCATGACAACGCACAGCTGACAAACCCCAGGGCCACACACACATACACACACACACACGAAAAAATTCCACTATCGCCAGCGTTATCATACCACTCATAAGAGGCAATATATTTTAATCTTCTGTAGTTTTTTAACACGCTACTCTGTAAGACAAAGTCAGGAATGAGGTTATTCAAGAGTGAAGTCAACGCAATGGCTCAGAGAGTCGGCAAGCTGAACGGGGTCGGCCAGGTGGTGCTTGACTTGGAAAGGGTGGCCATTAAGACGAATGGATGAAGTAATTCGAAGATCTGGCCCTGTGATGCAAGTCGGAAGAAGCCTTTGTCCAGCTGTGGACGACTATGGGTTGATGACGATAAATTTCTTTATGTTATATATGATTTATAAATAATAATAATAAACATCTCTAGTGGTTAATTTCATTGTAACGATGACTGGGATTGTAGCAGGGAATAATTCTAAGGTACAGAGCCGAAGCTGTGGTCCGACAAAATACCCACAGAACTGAAAATACTAACGCGATTCATTTTACTACTAGCCGTTGAAATTGGGGGCAATGTAAACGATAAGGCTTGCAGGAAGAAGCCATGCCAATGCTTCAGGTTCTCCATGAGGCTGAAGATGGTAGCAAGAAGAGGAATTTTGCTGCAGCGTTTACGTTGCAGTCAGGAACCTCGGTAGTAAGGGAACGACTTGAAGAGGGCCATGGTAACTACAGTCGTAGAGAAAGGCTCAGTAGGATCCAACGGCACAGGAATGTGGAACAGTGGACATCTTCGACTCTACCTCGGTATTGGCTTGTCATTCGTATCTCAAACACGAAAATTCAATTAAACTTGGAAATTACACTGTTTGCTAATTGTTTGGGACTGACCGCGATGACTCCCCAACGAGACCTCATTCCCTGAATTCCGAATTAAAATTTCGCGTTGATCATAAGCACTTATTTCAAGTTTAGTGCTTACCCGTGATCATGGCGCGAGAACTCTTAGTAAGAACCCGTTAAAGTAGGGTTGCAGACTGTAGTAGCTTTCAATGTTTTTCATACGTAATATATGCTTAAATAAAATGATAGTAGTGTGACGTAATGGGCACATCAACCAGCGTCTATCATCAGATCAGATGATAGGCAAAGCTAAATACAAAACAAAATAGTCATTCCATTATGTTTATATACCCAGACCTCTGCAGAGATTTTATTAGTCCCAGCTGGAATTTTCATAAAATTATTTCAGACCAATATATGAAGAATGAAGAACGAATAAGCCGTATACATGTTTAGGGATAGGACTATACCAGGATGGTACTGGACATGGTGCAACATCTTAGCAATGAATAGTTTGAAAAACTCCTATATATGTAAAGTAGTTATCCACATTTTATTTAACAGAGATAATTCTGCAAAATGAATGTAGTTAAATGATAAATATTAAAACAGTTTTTTTTAAAACAGAATAATTATATTAAAAATAATTAAAAGTATATGTTTACATTGTATAATGTAGTTTAATACATTATTACATAAAATTTTGTAATAAATTGATTTAAAATTCAATATCAGTAGAATAATTGTTCAGGATCTTTATTTAAAGGAATATAGTAAAAAATTGCAGTCTTTTTTAAAAGGAATCTGTTTTATGATTATACCTGTATATACAGATCATCTTTTTAGCAAATGTTAAAACATAAATAACATTGACCGACTGGCATTATCACGGCATCTCTCTTTGTACAAACATACATGTGAAAGGTTAGTTTGAACTCTGTCTAGGCCATTAATATTATGAGACGATCAATAACGAGTTGTGGAGAATCACCAAGCAGACACCAATGGAGTGGGAGATTCTTAGGCTGAAGTGGCATTGGATTGGTCACACATTAAGAAAGCCCGATACCCACCAATCCAAGATAGCACTGACCTAGAAAGTGTGGCAACAGGAAGAGAGGTCTTCTCAGTACAACTTGGAGTCGCTCAGCAGAGCAGGAATTGGGCGTCTTGGGCATGACGTGAGTGGAGGTAGACTAAACTGCCTAAGTCTAATGCAAATGGAAGAATTTAATTCAAATCCTACACCCCAGCACAGGATAATAGGAAAGAAAGAAGAAAAAGAAGAAGATACATATCTCCTCCACCTCCTTGCTACAGTTTCCTCAATACCGAGGGTCATGATCACCTCTTCTCAATAGAGTTTATTGTGGATCACTCTACGTATTTGTTCCTATCTACCGACAAATTTGGAGCGTTGTGGACTGTGGTGTCGAGAGTAGTGCAGATTTGGTCTGTTCAACACATCAGGCCTCTGCCTCATGGTATTTTTCCGTCCACTTTGCCAGTTACATATATAATAATATAACGATATGGAATATTCTAAAAGTGGTTAAACAATAATAAAAGACTTAATTGCATTTTCTGTACAATATTAAGAAAACAATGTTTAAAGCCCTTTGTTTTCCACAAATCATTATTAACAAAGTATTCTTGAATTAAATAAAAGTTAACTCATCTTTTTTCTCAATGACAGAGAGTTCAATCTATATAAGAAAGATCCTTTTTTTTTAACTAAAAATTTTTTATATAAAAATTAAATAAAAAAGGTTTTTCTTTACATATATACATACGTCATATATTCATTATATATATACATATATAGAATTTACACATATAATCATACTCAGTCTCTTTTTCGCATAGCTTAGTCAATCCTAGTTTGAGGTCAGAGGACTGAAAATTTATCCCAGATTATTATTATTGTTAGTAGCTTTAAATTACTCTACAATTAATCAATCACTTTTGTGAGGGATTTTGTCATTTTAAAGTATATGAGTGAAAACAATAAGATAGTTAAATCAATGCAGTAGGGAGGCATTAACTTCAAGGTTAAATACACTGCAGATGTGTACACAAATCCAATAAAAAAAAAACTTTAGAATATTTTTCCAGCCGTAAGGCGGGAAATAAACAATTTTTTCAAAATGATACCAAATTTTTAAATCACGAACATAAAACGTAGAACAGAGTAAACATTTCTAGGTAATATGACACCTTCCGCGAAAATTTATGAGATTCAAGGCCAATTCGAATTATCATGTAATTTCAAACACAAAAGGTACATTTAACACTTTCACACGACTCACCCGGCCTCGCACTCGCAAAATCTCCAANATAAACAATTTTTTTTCAAAATGATACCAAATTTTTAAATCACGAACATAAAACGTAGAACAGAGTAAACATTTCTAGGTAATATGACACCTTCCGCGAAAATTTATGAGATTCAAGGCCAATTCGAATTATCATGTAATTTCAAACACAAAAGGTACATTTAACACTTTCACACGACTCACCCGGCCTCGCACTCGCAAAATCTCCAAATATAAATCCCGAAATACACAGAGAAGGTATATTTTTAGCATTCTAAAGACAGTGTTTGCATGACGAAGCTAGTTGTTTTATTAAACACAAATTAATTATTTCTTATTCACGATTATCACGTGTTTAAATATGATGTATGAGTAGAATTCGTGCCCTATCGATTTTTTTAGTTTTAATCAAAAAATAAGATTGGATACTCACAGAATTAATAAAATAACTCCGTTACTAAGTAACTATGTTACACACGGAAAACGCAATGTCTGAAACGTTTGGTGTTCTGTTTTATATTTTTTTCACTCGCGCCGTACACAACTCATAACACTTTCGTCGAAATTTCTTTGAAAATGGACTGTATACGTGAGGGAAAATATTTTTTCTTCTGCTATGTAATTTTAGAAGACAACTATGACTCCATTGGCTTGACGTCATGCAAATTGTTGGCAATCCTATTTTTATGCCACTTCCTACTCAAATAACTAAATGTCCTAATGAAAGAAGACGTTGAGGAATTTTATACTTTATATAAAGTATGCAGAAGTTATATATTTCTTTTGTATCAAATTTGAAAAACAGTTGACATTCTAGAGTGTTGCCATACAAAAATTCATGAGATTTGTTTGTTTTTGACATGTGATGCGATCCCAGCTGATCGTGCTTCAAAATGAAAACTTTATTTGATATAATAAAAAAATGTACTATTTAAATATTTTCCGATAGCTTTTATAGTCGAATATAATTCAAATACATAGAAGCTCAAAATTCATCAAAACATTGGAGAAACAAAACGCCCTGTACATTTTTTCTATTCGCCACTAGATGGCGGAAGAAAGACCACGATACTCCAAATTTTATCTCCTAGATGGCGGTGTCACTAGCAGAACTTTGGCTTTGCGCAATACTATTGATTTTGCCGGCTTTGTCGCAATTGTCGCATTGAGGGTCGAGATAGTCTAGACAAGACAGTTACCAAATGCCTTTATACATAGTGTTATAATACACCCTAAACCAGTTTAGCGGCGTAAGAACTTTATTTATGCTGTTAGAACTGTAGTTTGAAATATAATAATATTTAGAATGGAATACCATATTTATTTTATTGAAAACGTATTTTTGTATATATTGTGTAGCATATTTATATTTTAGTGGCAGTATTTATATGAAATATAGCTAATGGGAAGTTGTATAAGACAGTAGTTTGTGTAATATTGTTCGTTCATACTCTTTCTACTAGAGTAAGTAGTCTTAGAAAAATACAAATATGTATGAATACAAACATACGAATTGTCATACATAATAGGCAATAAAGTAAAAAATGTACAGTTTTTAGGTTAAATTAAAAGTGACAAATCAGTAGTTCCAAACTGAACTACATTATATTATCTATTCATTAAATTTTCGCAGTTAAATATTCTCTAATGAAGTCATTGATATTCCACAAATAAAGTCAATTGAATTTAGTTATGGCAGGGTTAATTTTTAATACTACATACTTTTTATTGGATGTGTTAACTATTTTTTAATTGTTAATCACGGGGAGCCTAAAATGCCGCCTAGCTTGAAATTTAAGACTGTCTCAAATATATGCCAATGTCCATGCCAAAAAAACCTAATCTGACCCGAAGTAATCAGATGTACTTGAGAATATTAATTAATCCATATTCATCAAATGTTACGCAAATACCATTATATGTCAGAGCTTCGAATTCATCTCTATGGCATCTTTAATCCCTTCGCTTATCTCAAAGGACGTTATGAGGTCAATTTGCAGATTAAAATTTAGAAACAAAAACAGCTTTACTAACGAGAATTTTAGGTTAAGTTTTTTTTTAAAAGACTAGGTATTTATTTTCTTAAAATCAAAAGAAATTCCTTCACAATTTAAGTTCATCGTAATTAAAATCCTTCCTCCTACGTTCATCGGAATGTCCTTCTCTCCTCTGTGCTGCAAAAGAAACCTTTAACCCTGGCTTTGAAGGAAGCTCTTTGATATTTAGCTTTCCCAGCAAAACCGGATGATTCTAGATACAAATTCAACATGGCACCTTCAGATGTCAGAACGGAAACAGCAGAACGATTTTAAATACTTCACCTTCCAGCCATATTACTGCTTCACGGCAGAAATAGGTGGTGGTACCTACCCGGGCGTGCTAACAAGACGCCCTGCCAATACTAATATCTCTGATGAGAAATCAGCACATACATCCTCGAGTTACCATCACGCATGAGCGTGGGGAAAAGCGAACACCATAGAGAAATTCCTTCGGATTATGGAATGACGTTTAATAGAGCATTTAGAAGACACTTGCTACCCTCTGATCCGTATTAGCACTATACATAGTAAAACATATTAAACAAATGTTATATAACCTGCAAATTTCTTCCTTCAAATCTAAATTCAATAAATAAACTGAGATTTTCTTAATCATTTAATTAGTTTGATTACAGAATTTTCAACACACAAAATTAAAAGGAATTTTAAAGAATTTTTTTGTTGAAGTTAAAAAGTGTGTAGGTATATTAAAAGAACAGTAGCTAGCCACAATATACAAATGTACCTACAACATGCAAATTCCTGAGCCATTCGCGACCACTGAAGCTGTGGAGTATTTTCTACACATCTGAAATAATATCGAGGGTTGAAAGGATATTTGGCTTAAGACTAATGCCTAAGCGACATTATTGCATAGGTATTTAACAAAACAAAAAAAAAAACTTCTTCAGCCATTTGAATGGAGTTAACTTAATTGAGGTTCAATTAAAAACATCAAGCTGTTGATCTCAATATCAAATAAAACGCACCTTTAATTACAAAGATAAATGTCGCATATTAAGTAAAATGTCGTTTAAATCATATTATTATACCTATATAGCCTTTTAACAACTACCTATTTTATCCCGTATATGACAAACATTCTTAAGTATTTATTGTCGTAGATTAATTAATATAGGACTAAGTTTAAATCTAGGAGGATATTAATAGATCACCTTTCGAATTATCTGTCGTCCAATATTGCGATTCATTCAATTCTGACAATAATACTAGTGTCAAAGATTAGTAATTTTTTTTTTAGGTTATAATGCAGATTTCCTTTTTGTTCAACAGACATGCTGCCAAAGTTAAATAAAGTGATTGCCTAAATACTCTTTTCGACATATATACAGATTTATGCATTATTTGCGAATAGGAATATTGAAGGCGATCGTCCATGTTGAGATATAAGATAGTCCTAATGCTTCCGCCAAAATTACACCCATATTTCAAAGTTTAGGCAAACAGGCGTATAACTAGTTTGAAAACTCTTTTGTGGAAACGAGATAAAATTATGTTGCATTACGCGTATTTAACATTTAAAATTTAGATTAGGTACGTTAATTAGGTAGCTCTTATGTTAGCTAGGTGTTGGCCGCCTAATATCAAATTTTACCTTGTATTAATTATTCGATCATTTCTGTTTTATGAGTAAGCATTGATTGATTAAAAAGTTAAGAGCGAAGAAATTCAAGATTACTACAACAAAACAAGAAAAAAAAACTGTATTTATTAGTTTATAAACAAATTTTGAAATAACTATATTTCATCATACGCTTTTAGTAGATTCAGATGTTTGGGATATTTTAATCAAATATCTCCTGCTGATCACTTGGATAGTTTATCGGTCATTTAATAATAATAACAATCAGGGTCAAGGCGTCTGGTCCCAAACTGGGCTTCCCTGTGTTTTGAAGACTGATATACATACAGCCAACCCTCCTATAATACGGTAGATACGTTCATACAACGTCCGGTGTTGTGCGAACCCGCGTTATATGACACTAGAGAAGTCAATACAAAAATGAGAGTATTTTTTAGGAATGAAACTCAATTAAGCCTGCGTGTGCTTTTTACCTAATATACATGAAAAATAATCAGTTAATTTTGGCTTATTCCCATATATTGTGTGTTCATAGTGCATAATGTATTATAATTATCTAAATAATTTTAAACAAAATCTCGTTATCGTGTTGTAGAAGCACCGTGTTTATTAAAAGCGGTTTTGGGGATTTTTTCGGTTTTCGTGTTGTAGTGGAACCGTGTTGTAGAGTAGTGTGTTACAGGAGAGTTACTATAAATGCGTTTAAATAGATTATCTTTTATTTGTGTCGTGCCAATAAGGATCATGAACTGGTGGTAGGACCTCTTATGAGTCCGCACGGGTAGGTACCACCCCGCCTATTTTTGCCGTGAAGCAGTAATGCGTTTGGGTTTGAAGGGTGGGGCAGCCGTTAATTATACTGAGACCTTAGAGCTCATGTCTCATGGAGAGTGGCGGCATTTACGTTACGTTACGTCTATGGGCTCCGGTAACCACTTAACACCAGGTGGGCCGTGAGCTCGTCCACCCATCTAAGCAATAATAAAAATAACCTACCCGCGAGGACTCACAAGAGGTCCTACCACCAGTAAAATTTATTTAAAATCTTATCATTATTATTATTATAAAATCCTAATTATTACTAAAACTTAATTAGTTTCGTCTATGTTGCTAAAGAAGGTACTTAATTACAATTTAATAAAAATCTAGCCGTCTACTACAATTTTATGTAGGCAATTCCAATCTAAATTCTAATATGTTCGATACATTTAATTGACTTATTCATAGAAACAGATAACTCTATATTGGCCATAATAAAATAATATCAAACTATGTATGCATTAGAACAGAGGCAGTGTTGCAATTTTCTTTATACTGACCAAAATTGCAAGTTTCAAACTTCAAATTGTATTTTAAAGTCGAAAGAAAGGGCTAAATGTAATAATATATAAAACCCTATTGGATAGTTTTATTCCATCGGTAAGTAATTAGGAGATTGATTCTAATCTAAAACAAAATGTTTGTCACAATTTTATGCTACGTAATTATTGACTACAAAATTAATGAGATATAATAATAATAATAATAAGCCCATTTTTATTTCCAAAAACAAAGAAAAAAACACCTTATCAAATAAAAAATTACAAAATTTAATATAAGCTTGTGTTATTGGAACCCCATTCGGGTATAGGCCTCCTCCAGCTTACTCCACTCTTCCCTATCCTTGGCTTTGTTTCTCCATTTTTTTGATTAATGAGATTTAAGAGAACTAAACTAAAATATTTAGTCAATAACCGAATCAAAAAGTTTCATTTACTTTTATAACAATCGTATAGTAAAATTATCTCTAAAATAATCTTCACTGACCAAAGTTAAAATTCAAATTTGTTTTCAAACTGAAATGAAATAAATGAATTAACTTAGGTAATGTTTTAACTACAAGTTACTCTGCTATTGGAAATAGCCCTAGTAGAAACGCATCGAGATAAAAAAAATTTAATGGCGAAGAATTATATGCACGTAAGTTGAATGGGAGTAATTCAATTTTAAATTCATTTAAATAATAATAA